TCTCTCTCTCTCTCTCTCTCTCTCTCTCTCTCTCTCTCTCTCTCTCTTTCTATTTGGCTTAGTTTTATCTTTATTTGTTTCATAAGCTTCTTATGAATCGCATTATGTATTTTATTTGTGCGAACGTGAAGTGGTTGGCTTGGTGTTTGTCTTCTTTCTTCATTCAAATGATAATTCTATTATCGTTGCACATAAAGAAAAATTGACTTTTTTTACGTCTTCCTCCGCCGTTCATTTGATTCATATATATATATTTTTTATTTGCTTGAAAATGCTGCCCTCTTTGAATTGTTTTGTTCATTTCACAATGCTGAGCGGACACTCTCGCAATATTCAACAAAAAAGAAGAAACCTACCATGTGCGCACCGAAAAAAAGACAACAATACGATGAACAAAACGTTGATTAAGCCAACCAAATACGCTTTTGTGTATGTAATATGTAACGTTTTGACAGGAAGAAGACGTGAAATAGATCCCAAACGAAATAACAACGAACGGTTTGGCAAAGCGATACAACAGCACATCTTCGGCGCTTCAGATACACACTTTTTTTTATCTTGATTGAGACACACACACCACACAATATAAGTGGGTATCTGTATGTGCGTGTACCACTTCCGACTCCGATGATAAGTGAAAGAAGAAATATACTGTCCTCCTTTTTTTATTTTATATTTTCATTTGTTTGGGTGTTTGTGTGTGATTTTGACAATGTATACTGTAAAAGAACGATGTGACACGTATCTTAAAACACAAGCGGAAATTACATTCATTATTTTTCTTCTTGGGTTATGATTTTTTTTGTTTTGTTTTCTGACGAACGCCTCTGCTCAATTCGCAATTCAAATAGAATGTGACAAAAAGAAGCTCACTCCACAATTTCATATTGTTGTGTCTATTGTAAATGTTATATTTAAATAAACTATCCACACACAAATAAAGAAAATAAGTCACACACACGTGTCTATATGATTCTTTATTGCTATTTTTTTAGAATCTTATCATCATTTTTGCATCAGGATGTTCGACTACGTGCTATGAAAATCAATTGTCACTTGCTTTTTATGCAAGATTGGTATCGTTCGTTTTTTTTTTTTTTGGTAAAAAGAGGCCTCTCATTCATGGGGGTAAAAAAATCCTTTTCGTATAGAAAAAGACAATTTTAAGTAAATAATTCAGTAACGAAAAGTCAACGACTTGGTAAGTATTAGAAATAGAGAATAGATATTGAACATGAATATGACATGGTTATTGAAATTAAAAGTTTCGAATTTTGGATGAGGTGAAAATGTGATGTCTCTACAGGAAAAACTGAATCGCTAAGAGGCCATTAGGTCAGTTAGCCGGTTAAAATGTATAATATGTAAATTTAACGAAAGAATTTGCAAATTTCTTTATCGCGTTCTAGTTTCCAATGCTTCCCATTTTTTATCACTATTTCGATTACCTAAACATATAATCGCAAAAATTGATTTACACGATAAAAACTGTGCATATTTTGATATGAACATATTTGTACGTGTGTATAAATTAAATTCAATTTATTTCAAATTCAAAGAGTAAAATCTACGGAAAGTATTAATGATACAGTAAATTACTTCATCGTTTTAACCCTTCAGAAAGATTTTATATAGGAATTTCCATGGGAACATATGGATATCATTACTTGCAACCGACACAGAGTAATGCATTTTCGTTGAAAAGTTTATTAAATGTATCTAATGGTTAAATTATATTTTACGCTTACACACTGTTTTGATGGTGGTTGATGTTGTTGTTACCATCGTTGTTATTACATGAGGAAATAATTTACAATTATATATTATTTATAC